GGAATGGGGTGGAATGGGGGGGAATGGGGAGGAATGGGGGGGAATGTGACGGAATGGGGCGGGTTTCTCTGTCCGGTTCCAGCTGACTACTGGCTCCGGTTCCTAGTGAATGTCGTCAATGTTTCTCCATTGTTTCAGTTGATCTTCTCACTAATCGGTGTCGAAGTGCAGATCCTTGCGACCTCTGACCTTCAGAGATCAGCAGGAAGGTCTGCCGTTCTGGAACGGATGGGTTGGGTTCATTGTCCCCGGTGAATGCGGACTGGCTGAGAAGCCAGAGGTGCAGCCATGTTGGTGATCATGACTTCTCTGTGTTGCAGCGCTGGGCCCACCTGACCAGTCCCGTGTGGGGCCCACACCACCTGGAGTACATGGCCCCTGACATCGGGCCCCTGAGCTCGCTGACACCCGGTTCTGATGACAACAAGGTCATCATCTTTGAGAGCGTCATGTAGACCGGACCTGCCCACCCCTCCCAAGACAAGATGGCCGACCTCCACCCTCACCTCCCACCGCTTTCTGCGCAGGGCATCATGAATGAGCTGGACTCTGATTGGTCCCCACAGCAACCAAAGCTTTTTCCAGGTTCCCTTGGGACTTCTGGTTCTGTTGGGTTCTGGTGCTCCTGATTTAGGATGAAAGGCGGATCATGACGATCCCAAACAACTCGTCTTCCAGTGAAGGCCACAGGGTCAGTTTAGTCTTGGGTCGGATAGACGGTCACCACAAACCTGAACCAGACAAACAGCCATGATGGACTCACTGTCAGCCAGAACTTTCAGCCGACAGAGTTTGGATCGTTGCTGTTTGTCAGGACAGACAGAGTTCTAGACAGAAGCACCGACTGGTTCCCTTCAGGTTCTGTGATCAGATTTCCAGCCATCTGTTCTCATCCGAGTGCCAAAAGGTTCTGATGTCAGAACTGGGCTGCTGCCAGCGACCCGGTTCCTCTGCCTCGTCAACGCTGCGGTCCAGTTGGTTCTGCCCATCTTCGTTGGGTTTCATCCCGCTTCCTCTCTTTCTCCTCTTGTTAGCAGAAGATTAAAATGCTTTACTGGTTCTGTCCATAAACCCATCAGAATTGGTAACCGGGTCAGAAGGAGAGTCGTTTTGATCCGAATGTTGTCCGGAAACCTGAAGAGAGCCGGCGGACTGACGGCGTTACCGAGCGTTGCCTTATGTTGTTGTCTCACCTTTAGAGTTCAAACGGTTGACCTGTGACCTCTTGTCTGCTGTCGGTGGGCGTGTCTAAGACTCTGTCTCCTAGCAAACAGTTAGCATCCCGCCGCTGCCGGGAAACGAGCATCCAAATGTGGGAAAACCAGATCCGTTTGCACGTTGTTGTGAAATAATGAAAAAAATCAGTTTTTGTTTTTGTAAAATAAACAGAAGTTTATTTTTTGGAGGCTTTTATTTTGATGAAGAAATCTCTATATTGAATCTTTGAGCTATATCTGATGCAGTACTCACTATGATGATTTTTGGCTGATTGTTCACGTTCGGTCGGCGAACACGATCCACCGCTTCAGTCCTACCTCACTTCTCTTTCAGACTTTCAAAATAAAACACATGAGGGTTTGTTTTTTTTTAGCCGATGTTTGCGGTCTGTGGGAGTCGGAAGAATCAGAACCCGCTGCTGGTTCTGATTCTTCAGCGGGTCGTAAATCCCAAACAGGAAACAGGAAACCCATATGGTGCTGCGGCGGCTGACGTGAACAAGCAGCAAAGGCCGGTGCTTTTATTGTGGCAGGTTTGCTGCGATGCAGTGATTTATGAAAGGGAAACCTGTCCTTTATTTTAACGTTCAAAGTGCTAAAGCGTTTCCATAGTTTTAGCTTCAGGTGACCTTCTGTGTTTTTCCCTCAGACGTCCCGCGGCTCACATCACTTCATCTGCTTGACGTCGGCTCCGTTTTCAGTTTGACCATGAAATGAATCTTCAGTCCTGCTGTTCTGCTAACCTGAAACCTGAATGTTACCAGAAAAAAGTCCGAAACATTCAGCATCAAACTGAGCAGATTTCAGCGACAGGTTGATTTAGGCTAAAAACTTTATCAAACAATTATAAAAGCTGATCAACTACAACAAGGAGATGTTTGGTTCCCAATCATGCAAACTTTCTCATTATTTAAATCTGAGATCAGTTTGATCAATTCAATTTCATACTCTGTCTTTTTCAGGTCAACATGTTCTTCCAAGCAAAATCACAAGGAAAATAATAAAAAGGTACATTTTTATGGCCAGTCACGGTCATCTTGGAGTTTCCTGATGGAGCAAACAAAAACCTGATTAGTAATTTAGGATCAAAATTTGAATTTGAACTTTCTTTGCTATCATAGAAAAGAGTAAATCATCTGCATAGAAATGTAGAAAACTGAGCTTAGAACGGACAATTTAATGTTGCTTCAACCTACAGAGAATACCCAGATATATATCATCCAGATTAAACCTGGAGAAATTAACTGAAAAAATAACTATACGTAAAGATGCATCAGCTACTTTTAAGCACTGAAGAAAAATGAACAATGCTCAAGTTATTAGTTTCAGTTGGATGTATTAAAATATCTGAGATATTGGCTCAATGTACATGACATTAAAACCCAGATGAGAAGATCCTTCTTTGCATTAATTGGACTAATCTGCAGCTGTGCTTTTAACTCATCATTTTGTGAAAAACGTTGTACGTTTAAAGCTGAATATGTTTAATTTCTTCAGTCTGTGTGGGTCTGGATTGGAGCCTGGAGGAAAAACTTCTTAAATCTGCAGCCATGTTTAAATGTTATTTTTCATCTGCCAAAAACCTGCTGACCGAATCTGAACCGAGACCCGGAGCGGAGCAATCACATTTTCACTCCACAAATTTAACCAGATTCTTCTAAATTAGTTTTTTTATGGATCTGTGTCAAAATTTAAACGCCTGGTCTGAAGAACCGGTCGGTCCCAAACCAAGGAACTGGATCCAGTCGGAGCTGAAACTCTGATCCAGGACAGGGATGTGGGAAAAAGCAGCCAGAGCTGAACAGAAAACAGATTTATTATCTGGTGTCAAAGATTAATTTCAGATGACCCGAATGAGACAAAAAGAAATTTGGTCCAAAATCAAAGGGAGCCAAATGGGTTCAGTCCGGTCGGTCCGGTCCGGTTTCATCTCAGATTCTGTCAGTAAACTTCAGTTTGCCAAGTTGTTGAGGGGAGCGTCGGCTTTCCAGAAACTTCCCTGCTGTTCTCTGAGCAGATAAAATTTGTATTTTGATTTTCTGTCAGAAAGAAATGTTTAAAATGGGACTGAAAAAAACTAGCGAAGGTTGGAAACATAATAGAAAGAGAGGATGTTTGATTTCTTTAACACAACGCGAAAAAGCCCAAAAGTGCGGCAGAATAATCAAAGCTGGCCTCACACAGCAGGGGGCGCTCTCCTCCTGATGCTAAACAATCATGTTTGGGCTCGAAACACAAAGTAGGAAAACTTACATTTTGTTGCATTAAAATTAGATGATGAAAATAATTCATTTTAAAAGTCTGACAAAGAGAAGAAGCTGGACGATTTGCTGCCACCAAGTGGTCAGAATTAGTCACGGCAGCACATTGTGACAAAATGTTTTTTGCTGCTTTAAAGCATGAAAACATTATTAATAATAATGAAAGGAGAGAAACAAGCCCTCTCTCTAACTTCAAAAATCTACTATAATGGATTGGAGTTGAAAACCCGACTTAAAGAAATTCTGCAATTTTTCTGATGGACACAGAACCAGAACAATGCCGTCCAACAAGCTTCTACTGTGAACAGAAGAAACGTCAGGAAACAGATAACATGTCGTCACTGTTAGGTCTTCATGTTTCACCAAACCAATATTCATCCGAAGCAAAGATCGGAGCTTCGGAGCTGAAAATGTTTGACTCCTGCCCGTTTCCAGCCCAAACGGAGCTTCCTGTTGTGTCGCCGTGACGATCCGTCCTTCGTCTGCAGACCCGGTAGTTCGACTTTTAGCTGTGAATGTAGTGAAACTTGGGCTCTTTGTTAACGAGTCACCAGCCAAACATTAAGGTAGAAGACATTAACTCTGAGCCCTGATGATGCCATCTGTGTTGTACCAAGTGTCAAAACCGAAGCAATAAATCTAACGTGAAGACAAACCGCTGCAGCGTCTTTGTGGTTGTTGGGCTGGGAAGAGTCTTTAGGCTGTGGGGTTTATCTGATGGTTGAATTATTTCACTTTAGACTAGATGACGTCAGATCAATAATCTATGAAGGATCGATCTCCTGTCTGAGCTGCTGCTGCGCCTGCAGAAACGCACCAACAGGAACCAATCAGAGCCAGGAGGTGGGGCTTAACTCTGCCAACCGCTTCATTTACTTGCTGCTAATGGCAGAGAAACAATTTACTGTTATAAAAACTTTATCTGCTGTCAATGGTGGTTATGCTAACTAGCCTAGCATTCATGCCAAGCTGTGCAGTGGTGAATCCGCTGCAGTGTAGCATGAGGATGATTGACAGCGCTAAGACCCGCCTCCTGGCTCATTGTGTCTCATTGTATCACTATGGTGGCAACTTAAGGAATATGAAAAAAACATAATTTATAATCATTACATACTGCAGCTTTAGAGCGCTTGGATCATTTTGAATAAATAGGAAGCAGGAAATAGAAAAGAGTTTCCTTCAATGACTGAAGGCCATTCAGAAGAAATTATAGATGGAAGACACCATCAGCACAGTATGATAAATAATAAATCAACCCCAAAAACTTTCCTAAACTAAAAACCTCCCAAAGTACCGGAGCCAGAAGACTCAGTGGCTCCGAGTCAACAAGTCTGCAGGGTTTCAACAGTTCAGCAAAATCTGCATCCACTCCATGAATTTGAGAAGAACTGGGTGGTGTACAACCAGATGGTGTAGAACTGGGTGGTGTAGAACCAGGTGATGTAGATCTAGGTGGTGTAGAACCGGGTGGTGTAGAACCAGGTGGTGTAGAACCAGGTGGTGTAGAACCGGGTGGTGTAGAACCTGGTGAACCGGGTGGTGTAGAACCAGGTGATGTAGAACCGGGTGGTGTAGAACCAGGTGATGTAGAACCGGGTGGTGTAGAACCAGGTGGTGT